TCACTGAAGCCTTGAATAGTTTCCAGTGGTTACCTTATTTCAGTCTCAATGTCCCCACCGAGATATTTTGCCATGCTGAAATCAGACGTGTAATAACGGTTTGGATACACCTGATCCCCGTCAACAGTGAAGGCTTCACGGCAGTTTTTAGGTGGACGGCAGTGCTGCATGACCCTCCTCGCTTTATCTTTTTCCTGAGATCAAACAACAACAACAACAACAACAACAACAAAAAAATCAAATGCAACATCAATCCTAAAGCACCACTCCAGGCAATATCCAGGCATAAGCAGGTCTTAGTAAGACACTTACTTTGATTATAAGGATTGATTCTATCCCTCGCATATCAATCAGACAGTTGATAATGACTGGGCTTGTTGCTGTGATTACGTCCATTACCGATGGGTACTCCGGATGATATGCTTTCCTGTGAAACAGCACAGAGTGAAAACAAAACATGCTTAAAAAAAACAAAAGTTTCAGAAAAACGTAATAAGAAAAAGAAGAGAAAATCTCACATAATGCCGACCTTCCATGAATGTTGTACGGTTTATCAGAGAAGGGGCTGACAATAATCTGTGGCCTGTTGCCCTTTGGATAAAAGCGAGTCATCAGCTCCTGGAGGACTGCCTCGTCTTTGTAGTTGTCGCAACAGAACGCCTTCACGAAGCTCCGCAGACAGCACTCCACAGCCACAGCTAACGAGGGATCCTTTAAACTGATACATGCCCCTGGGAATAAACACAGACTGTCAACTTCAATATATCAAAAGTAGAAAGCTTTGTATTATTTAAATGTTAAAGATGTTTATAAAAAAGGTTCAGCGTTTGCTTTTTTGCATGAAAGAAAAGAACATTAGACATATGTCTGTACAGTAAATACGCAGCTGCAGCTAGAAACTCGTTAGCTTAGTTAGCGTCAAGATGAAAACATGACAAAAACTAATGCACAATAATGAAAAACTATGATGAAATGTATTGACACTCTTGTCCGCCAATAAAATGAGATGAAAATGGACGGATCAATCAGAACAAACTAAGTTGTTCAGAGAGGTGGGACAAGTTGGGGAGTGATCCAATCAGAAGTAATCTCCTTGTGCAGTTAGGTCAGATGTGCACATTTGATCTGCCCAGGGGAAACGTACAAGTTCTCGTGCTCTCAGTTTCTCATGAAAAAGCAACAAAATGTCAACACTTGTGAAGAAGAGAGAAGCACAAAAGTTTCACATTTGATGTCAAAGGAAAATAAGATGCTTTTTAAACCATGTGGAGCAACTCCCTGTCTTTGTGATGTGCTCCATTTAAAGTCTGAAGTCAGCGTTTTCAACTTGTAATCTGTACCGCCACTGTTGTGTGCTTGTGACTTGTTAAATAAGCCATACAGAGATAATCGAGCACAGTATCCATGACTTTTCTTCTGTCATGCTTTCAAGCACAGAAAAACGACCCCTGCACTGTATTATGACTACTAGTGAATGGCTCTACCTTGCTACAAGTTGTCTAAGGAGCTTGGAAAGAAAAGTGTCTGGACTTCTTTAAGTTGCTTGAAGACGTTTCACCTCTCATCCAAGAAGCTTCTTCAGTTCTAGGGTCAGAGTGTCTACCCATAAGGGACTAATGATCCTCTACCTAATCACACAAGCAAAGGTGTGAAAACGGGTGTACATCACAATCAGCCAGGGTTTCGGGTGAGCTCATTGTGAAACCTGGCCCCACCCTAT